TGGGAAGTGCTGCGCCCCACATTCCCGCCCACGCTGCAGCAGCAGCAGCAGCAGCAGCAGCAGCACCTGCTGCTGCTGCAGCAGCAGAAGGCAGCACAGACGCCCCCCTTCCGCTTTCTCCAGGGGGCCTATCACTGCCAGCAGGAGCTGCAGCAGCTGCAGCAGCAGCTGAGCCGCCGCGGCCACTCGGCCGCAGACGCTGAAGCAGAACCTGCTGCTGCTGCTGCTGCTGCTGCTGAGGGGGAGGATCCTGCTGTGGGCGAAGGCCCGACAGCGGGTGCGTTAGCTGCTGAGGTGTCTCTGCTGCTGCAGCGGGTGCAGCAGCTGCAGCAGCAAGCGCAGCAGCTGCAGGCGATCGGGGAGGATGTGGGGGACATCCTTGCGCTGCAGCAGCTGAGGCAGCAGCAGCAGCCGCAGCAGCAGCAGGATATGCGGGACGCGAAGGCCCACCGGCACGCCATGCTGCAGTGTCTGTACACCTCAATGCAGGAAGCAACAGCGGAGCTGCAGCGCCGCGAGATGGCAGCTCTGAAGCAGCAAATGGAGTGCAGCAGGTACTTTTCTGCTGCTGCTGCTGCTGCTGCTGCAGCAGCAGCGAGCGAGGGCTCCGGAGGCTTTCTGCTTTCGACTGGCGCAGCAGCCGCGGCGGAAGCCGCAGCAGCAGCAGAAGCCGCAATGCGCCGCCAGCAGCAGCAGAAGCAGCAGCAGAAGCAGCAGCAGCAGCAGCAGCAGCAGCAGCAAGTGTCCCGGCGGAGCGCGTGGCAGCGCGCGAGCTCGGCCCCCCCGGAAGCGCGCGAGGAGGCGCAGCAGCAGCAGCAGCAGCAGCAGCAGCAGCTGCTGGTGGAGGAGCAGCAGCTGGCAGCAGCTTTGGAGCGGGACAGCGCAGACGCTGTGGTGTCTATACAGCTGAAGCTGCGGGAAATCGCGCAGCTAATGAACACTTTTGCTGCTGTTACTGCAGCACAAGCTGAAGCTTGCGAGGGTTTAGCAGCAGCAGCAGCAGAGTCTCTTTCCAACGTGCAGCAATCCGAGCAGCAGTTCAAGAAAACCCTCAGCAGCAGCAGCAGCAGCAGCAGCAGCACCTTCCTCTGCGCCTTCCTAGGCCTCGGCCTGCTGCTTCTCGCCCTCGACTTCCTCACTGCCTCCAGCCCCTACCTCCTCTAAACCCTAAACCCTAAACCCTAAACCCTAAACCCTAGCCAGCAGCCACCCCAGCAACTCAACAAACCCGGGGCCCCCAGGGGCCTCTTTTGGGGGCCCCCCAGGGGCCCCCCAAAGGACCCTCTAGGGGCCTTTTAGGGGCTTTTAGCTGCACCCCAGGGGCCCTTCAGAAACCCTTTAGGGGCCCCCAGAGGGCCCCCAAAGGGCCCCCTCTGGGGGCCCCCAGGGGGCCCCCAAAGGGCCCCAAAATGAGATTAGGGGCCCCACAGGGCCCCCCAAGGATGGGGGGCCCCCCAGGGGCCCCTAGTCTGATGTGGGGCTTTTGCTAGCCGTGGGGTGTATGTACAGCTTGTGGATTTTTCAGTATTTGTTTGGATTGAATTGGAGCTGCTTTTTAATACTAGTTTGCTGCTGTTGCTGCTGCTTAGCTGCTGCTGCTGCTGCTGCTTAGCTGCTGCTGCGGCTCGTGGTTGCTGCTGCGGCTCGTAGCTGCTGC